AAAAAATGAATAAATAAAATCTTTAAAAAAAAAAAAAAAAAAATTTTAAAATTTCTATTAGTTAACGTATGCTGGAACAGTTTGGGAAGGGATCTACTTGTCCTGAATTGATAAAAGGGCAACATATAAACACCACGAAATGAAAGGAATACCAAACATTATCTAACATTGTGCAACTTGTCTCCCTACCCAGTTTGCATTTGTCACCAGAATGGAAAACTAATAACATGTTTCCTGGGTATTTCGTGTTTTTCTTAATCTACTTAATTTTCTCATTCTTTTGCTTTTCTTTCTCCAGGGTCTTGAAGATCTGAGACATGGAAGGAAGTGTGTCCAGGCCTGGCAGGGCACTCTTGCATGAGGGCCTGGAAACAAGGCGACCACTGGCGACTCAGGCTTACAGCCATCTGTCAAGACCCTGCAGAACGAACAGCATCAGGTTACACAGAGGGCTGGGGTTGGGGGTGGGGGTGTTGGGAAGAGGCACAAAAGATGCAGAGGCAGTTTCTGCTCTTGAGGAGTTCTCTGTCGATTAGGGGAAGGAGACAGGCAGGATGGAATAAGGTACAGCTGGGACTCAGGGGAGCAGGTTCTAATTCTGACTCTGCCATTGGCTGGCCATGTGATTTTACAGGGTGGGAGCAGTCACTTGTCACAAATAAAGGAATCAATCTCTGTAAAATGAAGGAATTAAATGTGATCAGCATTTCTCTAAGTATATTCCAATAAAAATAAGTCTGGTTAACTAAATTTGGAAAAACTGCCCCCACCCCAGCACCAGATAGAATAACACTGCACTGAGCGTATCAAAGGCTCCCAAAGTCCTGCTGTAAAGGAACCTTTTAAATTTGGCATTTCCCAAACTTACTTTCTGAGACAACATCTGTTACCATTTGCAGAACATGCTTTGGAAAATGATGATCTCTACACCCTTTCCAGCTTTGGAAGCCTACTGTCATTAATGGTTCTCTTCCTTAGAGACTCCTCACTCCCCTCCTCTGCTGTTGTGTATTTAGTCTTTCACTGAGTCTTTGGGCCGAACCTAACAGGCTGTCGCTCACTTTACTCTTCATGAACTTTATGCTATTTAAATGCTCACAGGAAACTAAAACAGAGTTGGACTATATGACCTCCAAAATCTGGACAAAGCCTGAAATTTTAGGATTCTTTGAAAATCATCACAAACATCCACTGAAGACTGCAACAGGATGTACATAACCAAGGATGTTCCCACCACAGCACTAACATTTCCTAAATGAGACTTCTGAGACGAACTTCTACACACTGCTCTATACTGCATTTCCTTGGCAACTTCCTTTCCCCTTCACTCATGCAAAAGGAGAATGCAGGGAGACAGCGTGGATTGTACTGGCTCCCCAGACCCATCCTAGAGGCAACAGGGAGTTCAAGGAGTGCTTTCTGTCAAATCTGCTCTTTGTAGGTACAGCAAAAGGTTTTTATGTAGATAAATTATTATAAAACATGAGGAAACTATATGTATTGCCCATACCTAACCATAAAAATATTTAATGTACGTGTTTCAAATTCAGCCAGAGTACCATCCAATTCCTGGCAGAGCTTAAGGCCCAGGGATGGCAGCAGAATACGGATTCGAGACAACTTGTGAATAACCACAGAAGTCAGCTACCCAACACACAGACAGGTGAGTCATCTCCAGTGTATGATAGCTGCATCCTCTTTGTAGTTCTGCCTTGACTCTTCTTTCACATCATGTTTCTTCTTTGGTCCCATTTCCATGCTAACAAAAGATTATTCAAAAACAATTTTAAGACATACACTCAAATTAGTTTTCTCAATCATCCAAATGCCTTATTCATTAGTAGCTGAGAAGACAGAAGTATTAACCAACCTAATTAATCACAAACAATTCAATCATTTCTCCTCTATTGTAGGCCTAACAGTGAAATCTCCAGGTTGGTCTGACTCCACTTTAAGCGGCTCAAGTGCCATCAATGGACTGAACGGTGGAACTGGCTGTGATGCTACACTGCTGATTCCCTTTCCTCTGTCTACTCTTCGGGAGAATGCAAATGGGATACGGTATGTTAAATGCCACGAGGACCAGGATGCTTCAGTGCCCAAAGAGGCAACAACAGAGAGAAAAGGAGAATGAAGATGACTGCTGACACGTCACTGAGGACTTCTGCAGAACACGTTCAGTCTGAGAATTCCCAAAGGTTGACAGATGCTGTTTAACAGAAGTAAAATGTAAGATTCCTAAGGCCTGCTTCACATATAAAGGAGTAGTTATTGGGAAACCCAGTACATTTTGTAATTATGTTCTAAAATACAGTAACAATCGATTATAACATAAGCATAATTACTGCTGAAAATAAAGCTATGAACTAACAACAAAAGGCTTTAGGAAAGGCTAATTTTAAAGTAAAAATAAAGAAGATTTAATCCAAAACATTCTCCTTATTCTAAGTTTAAATAACTCTTGGGAACCTAACTGGATTAAAATTGAACGATCTGACCAGTACTCAGAAGAATCATCATCATAGCATGTACACAAAATAGAGAATAAAATTTTAATGGTATCAAAAACAGAACTTTTTGGTCAATTTAGTATTTGCTGGAATAAGGCTGCAAAATGTTACTCAGTAACTGACTTAGCTTCTAAATCAAGCCAGAATTACACATACTCTGTGTATTACGTTAGTATATACAAGTACATTCCAGGATAACATGCAGAGACATGGAAACAATAAGCGTACCGTAAGTCAAAATCACCATCTCTATGGATGAAATAATAAATAGAAAACAAAACACCTGTCCAGTAATCCAGAATATCTCATTCTGAAAACGGGGTTTTGAATGCTACTTTCTCCGAGAATTCAAATAAACTCCACATGGTTAAATTTGATCTTGTTTTCTCAACGTGAAAAAAGAGAAGCAGACTTATTTCTCTTGCTATGGGAATATGTTTCTTTTTACTCAGTATCAAATGAGAAGGTGTGACAGACTGTCACTCTTCTCAGGTGCAAAGGCTCTTCACATTCCAGGGGTGAGCATGCAGCTCCTAAAGCTCTGAGGCATCTGGTGTCACACCACCGCAGCAACACACGCTCAGGTGCCTTTGATGATACAGTCATAGGAGACGAGAGCAACATTCCGAGAACTAAACCAGACCTATGAGATAAACAGGGTATGAAAATGACCTGAGCTCACAGGAATCTCTAATTTGACAGAGATTGCTTCAGCTCTGCTAAGATCTCATCAAAAGCCTTTTATAGCAAGGATTTCTTAGTGAGTCACATATTTGGTCATGGAGCCTTGGGATCTTTTTAAACACTACAAAGAAGTGCTTTATGTTGCGTAAATTTAATGAAAGGCCAAAAAAGAGGACTGATGGTGCTGAGTAAAACCTACAAGTAAGCCACAGATTTTACTATCTTATAAAGAAAGGAGTAGGTGAGATGTGCAACTGACCAATTTCGCTCCCAGTTTAACAATGATTACCGGGGAAGCTGAGCAAAATCCCTGCAAGGTAAGCAAAGACAGCGCCTCAAGTGAAACCTGGTGGAAGCCACTCAGAAGCGAGGATTGGTTGTGGCAGAGATGGCTGCTGATCCCCTCTAAGTAACTCCTCCTCTGTGGGTGAGAACCCAAGAATGTATAAGACAAGCAGGGTAAAATACTGGCTTCCCAATCATTTCTCCAAATTATGAATTGCAACTTGTTATTATTATTGTTTGCAAACTACTAAGAGGTCACATGTGAATTACTAGTCACTGAACAGCATATAAGAGAATACGGTCTGGCTTCAGTCTGAGCTCTTCTGATTTGCTGTGTAATCTAATTCAAGGCACATTAAATGTTTTGGTGCCTTGGTGTATTAACAAGTAACATGAGAAAAATGCTCATTTACTTACCTCAAGGAGCTACTGCACAGATGACTGAATCTGACAGCACTCTGAGCTCCTCAGATGAAAAGCACTGTGGAAACACGTGCAGTGGAGGGGAAACCCTCCAGGGCCTCGGAGCCCTGGCCTAGTGTGCCTTGTGTCTCAATCATGTTTCCTTCAACACTTTGAAAATAAAATCTCTTAGTGGCACTCCATCCCTTTATATATGTCAATTGTTTGGCACACAGATGTTTATACATTTAAAATAGCTGTCATACTCCGTACTCCAAAGAAGTTTACTAATTTTCCAATAAACTTAATGAAATGTACTCATTACGGAGTACTTTGTGTCAAGTTTAGAAAACTTAGCTTTCTCTGAGGTATATGTGACATAATATAAAGTTCAGTTTTTTCCAAAACAATTGAACTAGTGTTATTTGTGTGAAGCTACAAGTTTTTAATGAAAAAAATACTGAAAGTATGCCATACTGTCTATATATTCACCTGAAGAGTACTAAGATGGAGTTCTGAGAAAAGTCTTAACACTACAGAAAATAAATGTGGTTCTTAAATTGTTCAAAGGAAACATTTAAAAAAATGCAATGTTTCATCCACTTAAAGCAATTAGTCAGAGGTAACAAATTATAAATACAGTAGTTCAAATACTTTGTTTCTTTTTTAGCATTAGTTTTTCTAAACAAGTTCAATTCAAAACACTTCAAATCTGTTATACTTTTCTTTCAAAGTAATTCTGGAAATGGAAGCTTTCATAGAAATCAAAACAATGATACCACCTTGTCATCTTTACATGGAATACACTGGGCCTTGACTGTTTTAGATTTATAACATATTTTGGTTAATACAGTAGATTCAACCCATTAATAGGCCTTTATATTTGGGAGAGATTAGATAATGATTTATAACCTTACAATTCACCCAAACCTTCCTCACTTCCAGGTCTTGCTTGATTCTCTGCAGGCGGTTTGGTCAGACTCACAATTAAAACTATGAAAACTATAAATAACTGCTTTCGGACTGAAAAAATGTTTGTTTTTTAAATAAAATAAAGTGCTTTTAAATTCAAATATTTCTTGTTCTAAACAAAACTGAAACATACTTAAACCTGAAATCTCCATACCTTGACACACATATTTTAACAGAAAAAAAATGAGTTTTGAGCCATTAATGTCCTTCAAGAGTTCAGATAGGATCTAAATTGGGTTTTGCATTATTATCATGCTCATGTTTATACATGAAGGTTAAAAGAAAGAGGGCAACATCCAAGGATGACCAATAGGCAGTATGCGACGTGACAGCTGACCAATAGCGGCTCTCCACAAGGCCTTCTCTGAGTTCAAAATCAATTCTGTGATCCAATTCCACTAAAAAGAAAAGAAGTCAGACAAATGAATATGTATTACAATAAGATAGGTTCTGTAAAGACTTACTAGAGTTGAGAATAAAAATTTAGCTAATAGAAGTGATTCTCCTAATTTTTCTTAAGGGACTTGTCACTATAATCTTAAGGGAAAAAACACTCAGAGCTTTAGTAGCTCAGGATCCTATTAGTTGGAGTACTTTCCTTTGCATGCTCAGCTCAATATGGAATATAAAGGAAGAAAACAAAAAAACTCACTTGGTATCACAGAGTATATTTGGAGTAAAGATTCTGGGCTCAAATCCTGGCTTTCCCATTTAATCTTTGTGCCTAATCAGTAAAATAAGGAAAACAGCCCTCTTGCAGAATCATGGGCCAGGCTTACAAGCACTGATGCCTGTGGGAGTGCAACAGGTCACTGGGAGGCTCCTTCATAGGGAGGCCCTATATGTCAACCGGCTTAGTGGGGATGTGTTAGAAGATAATCATCTTTTTACAGTCATAGAATGTTTTCTTCCCCACTTGGCTGAATTCCTCAAAGGCAGCACGATACACCCCAGCCTCTATCCGGTCAGTAGGGCCCAACACGCGCCGGGACACACAAGTGCTCGTGAAATGTTTGCTCAATAAAACAATCCACTGGGTGGCTGGAGAGTCCAACCGGAGGAATGGGGGGTCCTTGGGAGGAAGGATGTCATGTACGGCCGTGCTGCCCTCAGACAACTCAGTGAACTCAATCAAGTCTTGTCTAAGACCCACAGAAGTCCTTCCAACACCAATTAGAGAAAAACCACCTTAACAAATCAGGGCTTTGTTAAGAGACTTGCAATTGATTCGTTTAATAAATCCTGAGATAAAACACTTGGAAAAATATTTTGATCTTCAGGAACTCCTTAAAACTGTCAGAGCCCTACCGTATTTTGAAGGGTCCATCTTAAAAACAAAAACACTCAAATCACTACCACTCAGACACTCACTTTGTTCTTTGTTCAGAGTGCCAGAGGATTACTGGCAAAAATTAAGGAGGAGGTTGGAGAAAAAGTTGGATTTGCTTTACACTGGGAATTTGGTAACCATATGTAGGAAATCATGTCACTCTGGAGAATGATTTCACATAAATGTTTAGCTAATGCTTACTTTAAACAGGTATTTTGCGACAATACCATTTAGTGATTTAAAAATGCATATACAGCTGTTATTTTTCTATTCAACTGTGCTTTTTGATAAGGAATGTCCATGGATCTATCTATACATTTTCAGATAAGGTTTATACTTAAGCAGCATAAATACCAATTAGGCTATAAAGCATTTCTAAAATATATTGACACAGACTTTTTATAAAGTTTTTTTTAACCCCTATTTTTCTCATTTAAATTACAATAAACTAATTCATAAGAAGTCAGAAAGAGTTGGAATCCACTCGGGAAACTGTGGGGTAGTAGTAACGTCTTAATCTTTTATCTTTTGTATACCATGGAACATTTGTGTTAGATTTGTAGGTACATCCTGGCACAACAGATAGGAAGATGAAAAAAGAGGAAACTGGAATTCTCCTTCTCAAGCACAATGAAGAGGAGTCAAGGTGAAGTTAGTTATAAAGAAAAAAGGAGAAATAAAGAGGAAAAACAGGAGAGATGGGAAACATATGCATTAATATTAGTGAGAATCACCAAGCTATAATTTCTAGGAATTCACTTTCAAATACCACTGTAGAATGTCTTCCTAGTCCAACAGTCTTGAATTGTTTTACAGGTAAAGAAACGGAGATTCTTCCTGTTGTAACAAGTGTTACCTGGCTCCATTTTGATTTTATGTCCCCCAAATTCACCCTTAATATGCTATTACTGTCATGCAACACTGCCTCTCGTACACTAGTCACTCAGATACTAAATTTAATTATTCTCCTATCATATGCCTTTGTTATTTTTGCCACCTAGAGGGACTTGAATCAGTGTCGCTAAGTACACTGGCCCTCCCTATCCTTTTTTTTCTTTTTTTGTGTGAGGGAGATCAGCCCTGAGCTAACATCTGTGCTAATTCTCCTCTTTTTGCTGAGGAAGACCGGCTCTGAGCTAACATCCATTGCCAATCCTCCTCGTTTTTTTTCTTCCCCAAAGCCCCCCAGTAGACAGCTGCATGTCATAGTTGCACATCCTTCTAGTTGCTGTATGTGGGACGCGGCCTCAGCCTGGGCGGAGAAGCGGTGCGTCGGTGTGCACCCGGGATCCGAACCCGGGCCGCCAGTAGTGGAGCGCACGCACTTAACCGCTAAGCCACCGGGCCGGCCCTCCCTATCCCTTTCTATTTATCTGTAGGTTGTCCCCACCAAAATGGGAATGAGGTAGCCAACTTGTCCTGGATGAACCTGTTTTTTCAGTCTCATCTTCCTTAAAAGGTTTACCCCAGGCAGCCTGGCTGCAGGTGCCAGACCTCACAGATGCGTTGGTTTTGCAGGTGGATGGATGGAAGTAGGTAGGCTTATGTCTCATCTTCTCTCTACCTTTTATGGAGATCACAGTATTCCCAAGGGAGTGAGGTTCTACTTGGCAGCACCATTCTATATGTGCTTTTGGCCAAAGTAGGCCCAAATCTACATGGAGTTGCCTTGGATCTACTCTCCCATTATTACCATTTCAAGAATGGGTGGCACCACACAGGTTGGTAGTTTTTTCCTAGTTTATCTCGCTGAGTTAGGTCAAAGAGAAAGGGAAACATAAAGCCATCACTTCGTCCTTTGTCCTCTCTCTCTCGAGTGCCTAAATACTAGAGTTCCTCTATCCACAAAGAAAAGAATGAGTTTCTTGCACAGTTGAAGAGAAGTAAACATGAGAAAAAGACTGTTGGCTTCCAACAATTAGCAGCAGTTTGCTTGTACTGTTTTAAAACATGGATTAAAGTTGTCCCTTGGTATCCACGGAGGATTGGTTCCAGAACCCCCTGCAGACACCAAAATCCGTGGACACTCAAGTCCCTCAGCTGGCCCTCTTTACCCTCGGGCTCTGCACCTGTGCATATGGAGGGCCGATGCTTTGCTTTTCTGGGGACTCACACACATGGGCATATTCCCTCCCCATGCCCCAAAGCGAATGCCTGCAACCGACATGGTGTCATCACTACTGTGCTTTCACAGAGGGCTCTTTTGTGCAAAAGGCTTGTCAACATGAATGTGGTATTAAAAAAATAACATGTGAATAGAAAGTAAGCATCTTAGTATTATAATGTGTACGAACTGGACAGCTTTCTACTATTTAATGCAAGCATTTTAACTTCCCTACAGAGAAATTTTCAAAAATGTAATAAATCTTAAAAGTTATCTTACTTGTAAGTAATAATTATAGTCATAACTGCATGATTTTTGGCTCTAGGTAGACACCAAGAAAAATACTTAAAAGCACTAGTGAAGGAAACTCTGTGTTTCCAAATGACTGGTGAAGGATTCATTTGTAATGAGAAAGATTATGCTCAGAGTTCTTGTCGGCAAGTTATGTCTTCTTATTTTTGTGTTGCCTGATAGTCACTATATATTTCATGTGGGTGGGTGTTTGACATTCAAGGAATGTTTACATTTTGTGAATTATCATAGTTCTAAATACATCTGAGTATTCTCCAGCTATCCTTTATTTGAAAAAAGTAATTAAAATTTCTAAAATGAGTTTTACAATCAGTTGTATCTGCCAAAAACATTTCCCAACACTAATCTACCCTGAAAGATATTCAAATACCTAACATTTGACAACAGATGGGCTATGTGGGTAAATATAGGTTCTATGGGTAAATTTTGCATACAAAAAAACTCCAGGAGGAGCCAGCCCAGTGGCGCAAGTGCGCGTGCTCTGCTGCAGCGGCCCGGGGTTCGCCGGTTTGGATCCCGGGTGCACACTGACACACCGCTTGGCAAGCCATGCTGTGGCGGCGTCCCATATAAAGTGGAGGAAGATGGACGCGGACGTTAGCCCAGGGCTGGTCTTCCTCAGCAAAAAAAAGAGGAGGATTGGCAGATGTTAGCACAGGGCTGATCTCCTCACACACACACAAAAAAACAAAAAAACAAAAAAACTCCAGGAGATGGCCAGATTTGTTGGACTCTCTTCAATCTGGTTTAAGAAACTTTTCCAATCATATTCAGAACTCCCTTCCCTCATCCTTGGTTCTTCTCAAAAAAACCAATTTCTGGTTCTCCACACACCTGTGCTTCCCACTTCTGTGCTTCTGCTGTTTCTTCCCCTGCAATGTCTTTTTGTCTGAGCATGTCCAAATCCTACTTCCACAATGCCTTTCATGATTTCTACAGATGAAAGCATTTTTTCATTCCTTAGAACCAAGAGTCCTTTACCTGTACCTCCGTTACGTGATTCATCACATTCTACCACATATTATAATTATTTATGTAGTTATCTACCTTTCCTACTAAAATGTATGCCCTCTAGAAAGTTTTTAATTTCCACTGTGGCATTTAACATCTTTATGGGCAGTACTGAAATGTTTCTGGGTACCTTTTTTACTGACTACCCTGGTATCTTGGCTCATGTAAACACTTAAAATTGTTGAATGAATAAAAACAGGGGAAGACAAAATAAAAACCATATACATATGATTATCTGAATCACTTTGGTGTAGTTACAATTAGTGGTCTAATAGCTTGGGTAGTTGAGATGGCTTTAAGACAGTGCATATCAGGGCTACTTGAATGCAGGACAAATGTATGAGTGGATTAATTTTCCTTTCTCCAAATAAATATACAAAAAGCACAAATCCAATGATTTCTTTATGGAAGTGACTATGACATGAGCAGGGACCAGAGAGAACAGTCATGTAAGATCATTTCTTAAGGGGAATTCACTGAGTTAGATCAACACAAACTGTTGCTAGGGAGCAAAAAACCCCAAATCAGCTTGTTATATGAAAACATTATTTTGAACTTGTATCAAGCAAGAGTTTCTTTTAAAAATAGAAAGGAAAATTAGTGAAAATTAGCAATTAAATACAGAAATTATAAAATTATATGTGGTTAAAAATCCAAATAAAAACCTGTAACATTTTTTGTTAAAGACCAAACCCAATATTAAAAAAAAAATTTTTTTTTAAACTGCTGGATTAATCCTCAGTGATACATTTAGAATCTGCTGAAAATTAGGAGATTAAAAATATCTCTTGCATCCAATAACACTAATTTTTTTAAGCAAATCTACTCCTCTAAAAAACATTAAATATTTGTGTTGAAACTAGATATCGGCTACAGCATTCCTACGGCCCTAAGTGGTAATGGTACTGATACCTGAAATAACTAGGAATGATTAAATTCTTTATGCTGTGAAACCCTTTTGCATCTAAGTGTATTACATCAAAAGAAGAGTGAATCTCTTTGAAGCCTTTAGGACAACAGAGAAGAAAGCAAGCAGCCTCATGCTCTTCTCCCCTCTCTCAAAGGTAAGAATGTACAGGAGCATCATGTATTCTAGCACATTAAGTGGCTCATCAATACTCGGGTTTCATGATCACTACAATTTAAGATTAGAAAATACAGGAAGAAAATACTCATAAATAGTCTATAATGGTAACATTCAAGCTGATCTCATAGAAGAATTGATCCAATCTTTCAATGAGCAGAAGAACTCTAGGCAGATCATTTTCATAGTACTCTGAATGCTATTCCTGACAGATACCACACCGAGGGCATTATCTTTATTCTGCATTACATTTTCCGGAAAAAGAAGTTGTGGGAGATTAAAGAACGATTCTTGAAGTCTGAAATCTGTGAAAAAAAAAACACAAGATGCTGTAAAGTGTTGCCTAATGGTTACAAATGGCCTTCAGATGCCGTGGCCAAAAGTCAGAACAATATTCCCAAATATGCTGATTAAACCCAGCATACATAAAGAAGCACACATTCTGTTTCTTGTGAAAAGCTCTCACATGGAAAATGTAAGCATAACTAACTTTGAAATATAATGTCATAATCTGTTAACACCCAGATATCCCCAAAATTTATAGCTCATTTAAGTTCTAACATAGGGGCAAAACAATGCTAGAAGAATGCATAATATGTTACAAACACAGGGGAGCCCAAGAAACGAAACAGTGAAACCACTGGAAATAAGCCTAGACTTTGTCAAAAGAAATGAGGAATAGTTATATAAGATGCCTCAACCTAAGAATAATAAAATGGTTTCAACTGACAACACACCTTTCAAAGAGAGAAATCCGGATTAATCAGGAAGTCAAAGTCTGTGTCCATCTCACCCTCAAAAAGCGAGAGAAGCAAAGTTAGTAGCTTCAGAATAAAGGTTATCAAAAAGAACTGAGGCACTCAATGTGAGCAGAAAGACGGAAGGAAGCCAGAATCACCTAATCAGGATGACCAAATTCCAGGAAGAAGATTTACGGAAGAAAGGTATTATGCTTTGCAAGATATAGCCAAAATGGCAATTATGACATAAGAAATTTGTCTAAATCAGGAGTACACAGAAGAGTATATTATTGAAGCAAGTCCAAGAATTAGTAAGGCAAACGCTGGGAATTTGATGTAAAAGGCAGAATTCTACTGTAGTACTAGTCCAATTTTACCAGTTACATCTACGTCTAGAGATAAATATATGTAACTAAGACTTGTGATTAGTTCACATTTAGTTGAGTCTGTAGCTGACAAGGAATTTACCATTAGGACCAACAAAGAATTTACATGCAAGAATGATAAAAAATGTATTTTGTTAAGCTATCGAAATACAAAGATGGAAGACAAATCAAGAAGGCGGCGGAGGTGGACTCTGAACTCAACTCCTCCCACAGACACAGCCGACTTAGAACTACTCGTGGAACAATTACCCCTGAGAGAGAACTGAAAACTGGATAAGACAAACCCCTGCAACAAACGACAGTCCTGACTGAGGTGGAAGAGGCAGAAATTCCCTTCTGGAGAGAAAAAAAACCCCACCTTCACAAGCCACAGCACTTCACGACCGCCTGGAACAACCCAGAGGTACGCAGCCCTCCCTGGAGGAGTGGGGGACCTGAGCCACGAGTGTTCCCGCTATAAGCATCTTTTGCACCCAGCACAACCAAGACGAGTGTCATAATATCTGGCTTTGCTGGCTACTAACAACATTGGGGAATACCCTCAGAAAAGCTGAGGCATAAGGAAATTAAAGCCAGCTCTTAAAGGGCCCATGCACAAAGTCACCCATTTTGGAAAGCAAACTGAAATCACCAGAAAGAAAGGTGCACAGTCCTTCGGTGAAAAGAGAATCACCTGACAGGCTTTGGGTGCATCTCGGTGAGAGGTGAGACCTCTCCAGGGACTGGGACATTGGGGGCAGTCATTATTGTGACCTAGTGCAGGTGTGCTGACATGCAGAGCCATTGGAGTTCTCCCTGTGGTCTGCTAGCCCAGGGTCTGCCCCACCCACTAGAGCACCAATTTAACCCAGCTCAGCCAAGGAAAGCTGCCTGCCCTAGGGACTGGCCCCATCCAACAACAAGCCCTCGGGTAACTTGTGGGCCTGCATAGGCTACATGCCTGGATTCTCTGCAGCTGGGCGAGTGGGTCCACTTCTGTGGGACAGGGCATGCGTGAGGAGTGGGTGGAGTGTGCGGGGCATTGGTTGACTGTGTGGGGCCTCTGCCATGGGGTGACTGGGTCCACTTTAGGGAGTTGGGGCGTGCGCACAGGACAGGATTGGGTTGACTGTGTGTCGCCCTGTGGAGAGTGGGGCTTGTGAGCTGCAGAAGACTTGTGCTGCTCAAACAGCCACATACGGGATTGGCCCCACCTTCCAAAGCCTGAAACAACTGGGTGCTCCCGTGCCTGGGGCCAGCCCCACCAAGCTACAATCCTTCGAGAGCTGACAAGAACCTTACAGGCCAGAGGCTTATAGCAATTGTAAGCCCCTGAGCCTAACAACATGCAGGGGGCCTACTCACTTAATAGAAAAACTGCAACAGGAATGTGCTATTAGACCTTGCAGCCAACTGCTGGGGCTCCCCACACCCAATAAAGAGACTGGAGGGCCCACAACAACTACACACAGCTGAGCATTGCAACCAGCTGGACAGGGGGACAGCCCAGCCTCCCTGGGCACCTGCAGCAAGAGCAACCCAGCCATACAGAAGGACACATGTAGCCCACACAGGGTCACTCCCAGAACATTTGGAACTGGTGATGAGAGGGAAGCACACTGCTGAATCTCATAAGGCATCACTTAACATAAAGTCACCTCTCCCAGATCGGGAGACATAGCTGATCTACCTAATACATAGATATAAGCACAGAGAAAGACGCAAAATGAGCAGACAAAGGAATATATCTCAAGTAAGGGAACCAAGACAAGTGTCATAATATCTGGCTTTGCTGGCTATTAACTACAATGGGGGATACCCCCAGAAAAGCTACTGGACGTAGGAGGAAAGAAAAGCCTGCTCTCAAAGGGCCCACAAACAAATTCACCTGTTTCAGAAAGCAACCTAAAATCACCAAAAAGAAAGGTGCATAGTCCTTTGGTGAAGAGACTCACCTGATAGGCTCTGGATGCATCTTGGTGAGAGGTGAGACCTCTCCAGGGACTAAGACATTGGCGGCAGCCATTATTGTGACCTAGTACAGGTGTGCTGACACAGATGCTGGCAGACACCATTGGAGTTCTTTGCCTGGCCTGTCAGCGCATGGCTCTGCCCAACCCACTAGAGCACCAATTTAATCTAGCTCAGTCAGGGCAGGCAGCCTGCCCTAGGGACTGGCCTCACCCAACAGCAAGCCCTTGGGCAACTTGTGGGCCCACATAGGCGGGGTGTGTGGGACCTCTGCAGCAGGGTGAGTGGATCTGCCTCTGCGAGGCAGGGTGTGCACAAGGGACAGGCATACATTGGCAGAGTGTCTGGGGCCTCCACAGCGGGGTGAGGGAGTCCTCTTCAGTGGGGTGGGGCATGCACACAGGGAAGGACTGTGTTGATGGTGTGTGTGACCCTGTGGGTGGTGGGGTTTGTCAGCTGCAGCAGATTTGAGCTTCTCAAACAGCCACATAGGGGATTAGCCCCATCTTCCAATGCCTGAAAGAATTGTGTGCTGCCACACCAGGAGGTGGTCCCACCCAGCTGAACTCCTGAAAGACCTGACAATAGCTTTGCAGGCCGAGGGCCTACAGCAATTGTGAGGCCCTGAGCCTAGCAACAGCCACACTAGGGGCCTACTCACTTAACAGAAAAACTGCAACAGGAATGTGCTATTTCACCTTGCAGCCAACTGTGCTGGGGCTCCCCATGCCTAATAAAGTGACTGAAGGGACCACAGTAGCCAAAGGCAGCTAAGCATTACAACCAGCCAGCCAGGGTGACAGCCTAGCTTCCCTGGACACCTGCAGCATGAGCAACCCTGCCATAACAGAAGGACACATGTAGCCCACACAGGGGACACTATGGCAACATGGGGAGCTGATGAGGAGAGGGAAGCACACTGCTGGGCCTGATAAAGCATCTCTTACATAAGGCGACCTCTCCAAGATCAAGAGACATAGCTGATCTATCTAACACATAAATATAAGCACAGAGAAAGAGGCAAAATGAGCAGACAAAGGAATATGTTCCAAATAAGGGAATAGGATATATCCTCAGAAAAAGAACTAAATGAAACAGAAATAAAAAATCTACCTGATAAAGACTACCAAGTAATAGTCATAAGGATGCTCACTGATCTTGGGAGAAGAATGGATGAATTCCGTGAGAACTTCAACGAAGAACTGGAAAATATAAAAAGAACCAATCAAAAATGAAGAATTTAATAATAGAAAATGGAAATAAAAAATTCGCTAGAAGGACTCAATAGCAGAGTAGATGATACAGAAGAACAGATCAGTGAGCTGGACGAAAGACTAGAGGAAATCACCCAAGCTGAACAGATAAAAGAAAAAACAATTAAAAAGAATGAGGACAGTCGAAGGGACCTCTGGGACAACATCAAGCACACTAACATCTGTATTACAGGTGTCCCAGAAGGAGAAGAGAGAGACAAAGTGGCAGAGGATCTATTTGATGAAATAATAGATGAAAACTTCCCTAACCTAAGGAAGGAAACAGACATCCAGGTATAGAAGCACAGAGAGCACCAAACAAGATAAACCCAAAGAAACCCACACCAAGACACATTATAACTAAAATGTCAAGAATTAAAGATAAAGAGAGAATCCTAAAAGCTGCAAGAGAAAGGCAATAGGTTACATACAAAGGAAATCCCATAAGGCTATCAGCTGACTTCTCAGGAGAAATCTTCCAGGCTAGAAGGGAGTGGCATGACATATTTAAAGCGCTGCAAGGAAAACTTACAGCAAAGAATACTCACCCGGCAAGGTTATCATTCAGAATGGAAGGAGAGATAAAGAGTTTTCCAGACAAGCAAAGAGTAAAGGAGTTTATCACCAAGAAACCAGCCTTACAAGAAATGCTAAAGGGACTTATTTATGTGGAAAAGACCACAAATAGGAATACAAAAATTATAAAACATAAATAATAAAATAAAATCACTGGTGAAGGCAAATATACAGTAAAGGTAGCAGATCAACAGCCAATGAAGTTACTATGCAGATCAAAAAACAAAAGTACTAAAATTCGCTATTTCCATGATAAAAGGGTAACAGATACACATGCACTAAAAAACAGGTTAAATATGACGTCAAAAACATAAAATGTGGGAGGAGGGAACTAAAAGGGTAGAGCCTTTAAAAAGAGGTCAAACTTAAGAGACTATCAAGGTAATATAGATTACTATAT